GAGGACCAGGACTGGACCAAACTTCATACTTATAGAACAATTGTCTGTAAATGTTGACGGTTTTTCTTTCTGTCCAGATCTGTGACCCCCCCCCCCCCCACACACACACACACACTCATTCACGTACGGCAGCCACAGGTTGAGTGTTTTGATTGGTGTAGGCTGACTGAGGCCCCCAGGTCCAAGGTCCAGGAGCAGGTCTGTGGTCCAGGTCTGTGGTCCAGGTCTGTGGTCCGAGGATCAGAACATGACCTGGACTCTGAAGTGCTTCTGTTTGGTGGCGTTGTTGCTCATTCCCGTCTTCAACATCCACTTGGACTTCATCATCTGCACATAGCGCATGTCCTTCTGTCTCTGATAGGGGGCGCTAATGCCTAAAAGAACATAAAAAAAAACAAGGAAAACAGTAGGATTAAAGACGGTGTTAGAAGAGAACACACACACACACACACACACACACACACGCGCACACACACACACACCTTCTCCCCAGCCCAGAGCCTTGTACTGCCTCAGGACGCGGCCCACGGCGTTCCTGTTGTGGGCCAGCGCCACGGTCCGCTCGGCTCCGAACCGTTGTCTGTAGTACCTCATCAGGGAACGATGTCCAATCTTCGCTCCTGGAGGAGAAATAAAAACTTGATCTAAAAGTCTCCACACGATAAACGTTAAAAAGGCTAGGATCAAAGCAAGACAGAGCTAACTGTTAGCTAACTGTAAGCTAACTTTTAGATAACTGTTAGCTAACTGTTAGACAACTGTTAGCTAACTGTTAGATAACTGTTAGATAACTGTTAGATAACTGTTAGCACCCAACTAATATGTAACTAAAAGTCAAATGGCACAAGCAACAGAACAGCGCCAACTGATGGAGCAGTGTGACCCCGCCCACCCCCAGTGTTGCCCACCTGAGGGCAGTATAAGCTCCATGGTGTCGTCGTGGTACTCCAGGTTCTTTTCTGGCAGTTCTTCTTCCGTGGCCTCACGATCTCCTCCGTCCTCTCCGTCTGGGTAGCTGCTCCTGTGAACAAACAAACCCGTCTCACCAACAGACACAGAAGCTTCCTTTCTTCTTCTACTGTGAGTTCTGGAGCAGACGTCACCGTCAGTGTCGCTCCAACAACATTTCATGAAGTGTGTGCTGTTGATCCTGAAGTCCTTCAGGACCGAGTCCATGGACCATGGACTTTAAGGAAGTCTTTAGTTTATTTGAGTCAGTGGTGCGGTAGCAGCGGTTGCCATGGCGCCCTCTTGTGGCCATTGATGACATGGCGTACATGAGTACAGCCTAATGAACCAACAACCGGTCCTGCTGTTTTGGACCAGGACTAGAACTAAACGACTTTTCTTACCTGAAGTCATAGAAATCTGCAAACTCCAGAGCAGCATCGCCGTCTGTGAAGAGCTTACAGTGGCTCTTGTCAGTCATGTGACTCTGCACAGCCTCTGTGGAATAAAACGAACGCCCCTTCTCGTTGCACCACAAACAGACGTTTCCTGCACCAATTTTTTCACCTGTAAACAAAAGTACGAGAACATTTTGTACAGGTCGATGATTTGACATGTTGGGTCCAACCTTCATAAATTGATCTGAACATTTAATTTTCTGATTTATTACTGTCCCCACATAAAGTTCAACATTACACTAGATTAAGGCAGAAATGGAGCAGCTTGGTCTGAACTAAAATCTCTGATTTTCTCCATGGACTTTGGTCTGAACTAAAATCTCTGATTTTCTCCATGGACTTTGGTCTGAACTAAAATCTCTGATTTTCTCCATGGACTTTGGTCTGAACTAAAATCTCTGATTTTCTCCATGGACTTTGGTCTGAACTAAAATCTCTGATTTTCTCCATGGACTTTGGTCTGAACTAAAATCTCTGATTTTCTCCATGGACTTTGGTCTGAACTAAAATCTCTGATTTTCTCCATGGACTTTGGTCTGAACTAAAATCTCTGATTTTCTCCATGGACTTTGGTCTGAACTAAAATCTCTGATTTTCTCCATGGACTTTGGTAGAAGGGAGCTCAAGCTGTCTAACAGTGACAACCTGTGGCCACTTTCCAAACCCACCTAGGTAACGGACGAGGCCCCTGAGGTCGACGAGGAACTCCACGTCTGGGATGAAGAAACTGTGAACTCTGGTCATGTGATCGACGTTCTTCACGAGTGTCTTTGAGTGATGGGAACAGAACAGGCAGTCGGTGACGGGAATGGAGCCTGGCAGAGATGCAGGGTGGAGGTCAGACAGAGACTCCACCTCCTCAACCACCTCCTCCATCAACATCTCCTCCTCTTCCTCCTCGTCGTCCTCCATTTCTTCATCAACATCCTCCCACTCTTCTGAAAGGTGAAAAAGACTAAAGGTTAGCTTTGCTGCTAGCTCCAACATAATCACAAGATTGAAAACAAAACATCTACTAGAAAAGAATGGAAACAAAGAAATGACATAAAACAAAGTAAAAAAAACCCTAATCCATGTTAAACCTAGCCTAACCTGAACAGAACCAACGCAGAAATTCTAATTACGTCCTTAATTGACTTGATCATGTCTAAAAAAAAATCTGTCAACACTGTGTTTTTGGCAAATACAGTTATTGTTATTAATTCATTTGTTTAGTTTTAATGATAAAACTCTAAATAGCTTTGAAATGTAACCAGTTGAAAAAATAAAGCTGAACGTTAGCTGAACGCTGCTATTATTTAGCTGTAAATAAACAAAATAAAATCATTTTTTGGATTTCTCGCGTCTTCATCGAATCCTGATGTATATTCTGTGGGCGGGGCTTAGATTTGACAGTTTCACCACGACCACCATGTTTTTCCTCACCTTCCTCAGCGACACCTCCATCTTCTCTCTCCCTTCTCTTGGCCTGTTCCTCCAACCACATCACCCTGGGGGGTTTCTCCGGCTTCTCCGCCCTGCCCTTGGCCGCTGCCCCGACCTCCTGCTGCTGGGCCGGGCCAGACCTCTGCTGCTCCTTCAGGACTTGCTGTAAGGCCTGGTTCCTGGCGTCGTGATCCACCTTGTCGTGGCCCAGTCCTTTCTCCAGGTTCTTCTCGTTCATCTTCTCCACCTTCTTCTGCGCGGCCAGCAGCGCCTGCTTCTCGGCCTGCTGGTGTCGACTGGACTGCAGGTGGTTCTGGTAGGCGTTGACACTGGAAAACTTCTTGTTGCAGACGGAACAGGCCTCGGCGGCCGAGCTATCGCTCAGGTGCTGCTCTGCCGCTGTCCGCTGAGCCACCACCCGCTCCTGGAAGTTCTCAGCGGTGACGGGCGGCATGTCGGCCACCTTACGCTTGAGGTTGTATCGGTGCCAGTCTGTCTTGTAGTGGGAGCGCTGCACCTCCCCATCTGCAAAGGCCACCCTGCAGCTGATGCAGGTGTAGGACGTCATGACAGCCTGCAGGTTCAACAGATAAGGTTTCTTTATTCAGTCAAACTAAACAGAAATGGACAAAACAGTGGAACAGTTGTTCACTAAAGAAAAACACGTTTTTATGTATGTACTTAAACGGCGACATAAGTTAGTCAAAATGACTAAAGTTCTGATGGTTCTGAAGGTCAAAACAGCTAACCTACAATCACCACATGGTTAAATGTTTCCCGCTTTAATATAAACATATTCTTAAATCAATGTTAAAATGTCTGAGCCGTTTAATGTAAAACTGAGGTTAGCTTAGCCTCGCAGGCTGCTCTGCAGCTAACTTTACCACTCGGTAATTATTCCGTTTTCGTGGATGTCTTGGGATAAAAATCACAAAAACAAAAGTTAATGTCTCACCAGAGGACGTTGTCGAACAGATATGAATGTGTCTCAAACACCAGCAGCTGTGAAGAAAACAGCTAACGAGGCTATAGACACCAGGCTAACGATCAGCTAACCAAACCTGTGCTAAGCCCCAGGTAAGATGCTAACAAGCTGCTAATAACAAACCTGTAGTGTGGCAGGTGAGACCGAAGCACCTTCGGCCGCTGATATTTATGATAAATGTAGTCTTTTCAGATGAAAAGCTTGTAACAAAATGGCCACGGCTGCTCAAAACCGACCGCAGGTGAAAATCGGCAGAACCCTCCAATGACACCGGCGAAACACGGACAACGACCTCCTTATTGGTTAAATCTTTTTAGACTGGAGCTCCAGCCATGATGCTAACAAACGATCGACTAAAACAGTGACAGGAAGTGTCCTGTGAAGAGTTCAATTGATCGATTTGACGACTTCTTTCAGCCTCAATGTTGTTGCTTCTCTGACGAACACGTGTGGATCGACGACTGCTCCCTTCTTCGTAGCATGAGCAGAAACGTGACGAAGCGTTGGTGGCTCACTGCCGCCACCTATTGGGTGAACCCAGCACTGCACGATTATATCATATAAACAGTATATACGTACATACCTTATACTTGTAGTATATACTGTATATATACATATTTATATACGACCTGACCTTTCAACCTTCTCCCTCTTCATTAACCTCCTTCCACTAACAACTATTTGTTCATGTACTCCGTGTTTCCCACTCATATAAATATAAAAACCAGGAAACTCTGCAAAAAGTTTGATGCATTTATTTTTTCCATGTTAGCACATAGAATATATTTATATACATATTGCTAGCTAAAGCATCCAAAAAGGAGGAGGTGCTTAGAAAATGTTGAGTCGTGATTTGTTTTCATTTCACCTGTGACAGAACAGAAGTTTAAAATGTCAGGGACAAGAATGAAGTCCAGACCAGTTCTAGTCCAGGTCCTGGTGAGAAACCACGGTTGGACTTCAACCATGACCACACCTTAAAATGGACTTTGATCGAAGGCGGTTGTAAACGACCAACTGATCCATCCAGGAAAACTAACAGAGACACATCCACAGCTTTTATTCATGCAGGTGGAATGGAAGCAAAATAAAAAAAAAAAAAAAAAAAAAAACTTTTCCACACGGCGGAAAAAAAATAAAACACTGAACCCTTCACATCTGGATGGACAAATGTAATGATGGAAAAAACAGCAGCCATAGAAAAGGAGGAAGTGAAAGGAGAAGTTAGGGGAAAAGACTGTCGGAATAAAGTCGTACAAAAGAGACGCTAGCGCTGGTCCAGGAGTCAACAGAAGTCTGTGGATTCATTCGTAGTGTACAATCACTGTGCTCTTATTTACATGTAGTGCAACAAAGAGGGAACTTGGAGCTGTGAGCGCCCCCTGCTGTGCCCCCTGATTTTCTCCCCCAGCTCCAGCAGTCAGAGTAGAGCCTGGTCCTGGTACTGGACCGGTTTCTGGCTGATCCTCAGACCAGGGGGCGCTCACAGCTCACGGAGTTGTTGGTGACGTCTGTGTGTGCGTCACCAACAACTCTGAAATAAACTGACCAATAAAAGACAAGTAAAAGGAGAAAGGAGTGGAGTTCAGAACAGAGGAGAAGACTGCTGCTGTAGAAGGACCAGGACTAGGACCAGGTTTCTGTAACATTAACTGAGTGAATTTGGAGGACAGTGTTTGAACAGCGGTGATTCAGTTCACAGTCACTGATCTGTAAAAGGAGAATAAAGTTGAACTTCATTCCTGGTAAAAAAAAACAAAAACCCACAGACTGTGGAACCAAAGAAGGTCAGGTTTGAAGAACATCTCAGATAAAGGTCAGAGTGGACTTTGTCCTCAGAGTCATCGGATTAAAAAATATATTCTTTTAGATTTGATCTAAGATTATCAGAGGGAAGAATTTGTTGGTTTTTTTTCTGTTCCAATTACAGGTCAAGGTCACATGACCAAACCACGGAAACCTTTGTCTAATGACTTTTTGTCATGATCCAAATAACATCAACATCAACTGGATGATTTGTCCAGTCAGTATCTCCTAGAGCTGACCTTATGACCCTGTGTTCAATATTTGACTAACAAAAAAACTAACCTGTGACTGAGGGACTTTAATAAGACCAACATTAGCTCAAGTTTCTGTCATCGCACACACGAAGCTAAAGTTAATAAACCCCAACCCTCCCACACGGAAGACCATGGAGAAAATCAGAGATTTTAGTTCAGACCAAACCTCATGGAGAAAATCAGAGATTTTCTCCATGGACTTTGGTCTGACCTAAAATCTCTGATTTTCTCCATGGACTGTGGTCTGAACTAAAATCTCTGATTTTCTCCATGGACTTTGGTCTGACCTAAAATCTCTGATTTTCTCCATGGACTGTGGTCTGAACTAAAATCTCTGATTTTCTCCATGAGGTTTGGTCTGAACTAAAATCTCTGATTTTCTCCATGAGGTTTGGTGTGTGACAGGTAGTGTTCACAGCCTGTGGTTTCATTTTGGAAAAATCCATTAAAAAACATCATTGTGTTATACTGATTCTAAGGTCCAGAGGGCGCTGTCTTCAGCTACGTTTGTTCTTGTTGACCACTGCTTCTGGTCATATTTCTGTTTGTTTTTTTAAAAAGAAGAACGTTTCGGTGTGAAGGCAGGTTGATGCAGGAAACTACAACAAAACTACAGCAAACACTCTTCTGTTGTGTCAACGTGCGCTTGTTGCCGTTACACTGAGAAAGGTATTTTTCACTTAAAAAGTTCTGGTAACAAAATGTTGGTGAATGACTTATTCATCACTTCCTGTGACACCAGTTCAAACCTCAGTAAAAAGACAAAACCATATCAACAACATGTCCTCAAGGAAAACAACAAAACAGGGCCGACCATAAAAAAGTAGAAAACAGTTAAATTAACGAGAAAGTCAATGTTTTTTCTGGAGAGCAGAAGCACGTGTGTGTGTGTGTGTGTGTGTGTGTGTGTGTGTGTGTGTGCGTGGCTCATCTCTTCCTGCGGCAGGTGCGTTTGTGGTCGGCGTGCCAGTGCTCCTGCTGACACTTGATGGAGCAGTAGGAGGTGTTCCAGCAGCAGTGGTACATGGCCTCCTCCTCACAGTTATAGCACTGTGGAGACAGCACACAGACAGGGGGCGCTGTTAGCACTGAAAGTTCTACCGTGGGTCAAACTTGAGCAAAGTTTGGTCAGCAGCTCAGGACACATTTTGGGCTAACCTTTAGCTAGTTTAGCTAGTTAGCTTAGTTTCAGGAATCATTTCCTAAGTTTGTGTTGCTACCATTTAGCTACTCTGGCTAAGTTTTACATATTCATGTGCAAACCATCAATGATTTATTGATAAATTTGGACCTGGTTTTGTTTAGTTGTTTTTTTTGTTATAGTTGTTTTTGGTCTAATTTTGACTCATTCATTTTCTCCACGTCTTTGGACTAAAGGAGGAGAACAACAACAACAACAACAACGACAACAACAACAACAACAACGACAACAACAACGACAACAACGACGACAACAACAAGGAAAAACAGACTTAATTATTTATATTAAACAGTGGGTTTATAAAAATGGAATTATGTTTCCTATATTTTTCCACCGCTAAAGTTTCCATGCACACTCACCCCCTGCTCACACACTCACCCACTGCTCACACACTCCCCCCCTGCTCACACACTCACCCACTGCTTCTTCTTGGTCTGAGAGATGAGCTGTTTGTGCTGTGCCACCAGTTTCTTCACCTCCTCCACCAGCTCCTCTTTACACTTCTCCTTCACCTGCTTACACTTCCTCTCCATCTCCGCCTGAGCCGAGGACACAGCTTTGTTCACCGCCTGTCGCTTCTCCTCCTCCATCTCTGCACGCAGCTGAGGGAAACACACACACACACACACACACACACACGTACGACTGATTAGACAGTTAGACTCACGCACCAACTCTTCTGCAGCACAGCTGTGTGTTTGTTTTTTCACTTTATAAGACTGAGCGTTTGGCTGTTTTTCAACAGCTACTTGTTTATCTTGACTTTTATTTAACAACGTTTGAATATGTTTTTAGTTGTTTTGTATTAACTAGTCTCATAGTCCAGCAGTAACTAGTAACAGATAAGTGCAGTAACCATCGTCCTCCTTCACCACAGCCTGGACTTTAACGTTACTGAAAACAGTGGTGGAAGTGAAACGAATGTTAAATGAGGAGACAGAACCGACTCCTCCTCCTCTTCCTCCTCCTACTGTGATAGAACACAGTCAGCTCCAGTCTGACCTCATACTTCCTGGTCTGCAGTATGAGGGGAGGAGGAGCAATAGGAGGAGGAGCAATAGGAGGAGGAGCAATAGGAGGAGGAGCAATAGGAGGAGGAGCAATAGGAGGAGGAGCAATAGGAGGAGGAGCAATAGGAGGAGGAGCAATAGGAGGAGGAGCAATAGGAGGAGGAGCAATAGGAGGAGGAGCAATAGGAGGAGGAGCAATAGGAGGAGGAGCAATAGGAGGAGGAGCAATAGGAGGAGGAGCAATAGGAGGAGGAGCAATAGGAGGAGGAGCAATAGGAGGAGGAGCAATAGGAGGAGGAGCAATAGGAGGAGGAGCAATAGGAGGAGGAGCAATAGGAGGAGGAGCAATAGGAGGAGGAGCAATAGGAGGAGGAGCAATAGGAGGAGGAGCAATAGGAGGAGGAGCAATAGGAGGAGGAGCAATAGGAGGAGGAGCAATAGGAGGAGGAGCAATAGGAGGAGGAGCAATAGGAGGAGGAGCAATAGGAGGAGGAGCAATAGGAGGAGGAGCAATAGGAGGAGGAGCAATAGGAGGAGGAGCAATAGGAGGAGGAGCAATAGGAGGAGGAGCAATAGGAGGAGGAGCAATAGGAGGAGGAGCAATAGGAGGAGGAGCAATAGGAGGAGGAGCAATAGGAGGAGGAGCAATAGGAGGAGGAGCAATAGGAGGAGGAGCAATAGGAGGAGGAGCAATAGGAGGAGGAGCAATAGGAGGAGGAGCAATAGGAGGAGGAGCAATAGGAGGAGGAGCAATAGGAGGAGGAGCAATAGGAGGAGGAGCAATAGGAGGAGGAGCAATAGGAGGAGGAGCAATAGGAGGAGGAGCAATAGGAGGAGGAGCAATAGGAGGAGGAGCAATAGGAGGAGGAGCAATAGGAGGAGGAGCAATAGGAGGAGGAGCAATAGGAGGAGGAGCAATAGGAGGAGGAGCAATAGGAGGAGGAGCAATAGGAGGAGGAGCAATAGGAGGAGGAGCAATAGGAGGAGGAGCAATAGGAGGAGGAGCAATAGGAGGAGGAGCAATAGGAGGAGGAGCAATAGGAGGAGGAGCAATAGGAGGAGGAGCAATAGGAGGAGGAGCAATAGGAGGAGGAGCAATAGGAGGAGGAGCAATAGGAGGAGGAGCAATAGGAGGAGGAGCAATAGGAGGAGGAGCAATAGGAGGAGGAGCAATAGGAGGAGGAGCAATAGGAGGAGGAGCAATAGGAACTAAAGTCTCAGTTCCTGGTTCCTCCTCCAGAGTAGGAGTGTACCTGGACCACAGAGCAGGTCTTCTGTCCTTCTACAGAGTCTCTGACTCCATGACTCTCCTCCACAGAGTCCAGACCACATTCACTCAGCCTCTCTATGCTGGATTTTGTCTTTATTATCCTCCTGGAGCCACAGCAGAGTTCTGTAAACTCAGATAGACTTGAGTTTTTTCAGCTTTAAATCTTTGAACTTTCTCATTGCTGTCATCAGCTGTCAATCAAAACAAAGATGGTGGGCGGGCTCTTTGAGGTGTGCTCCTTTCCTGTAGTCCTGATGTGTTGACTTTGTGGAGGTGGAGCTGCAGTGGTGGAGGATCTGGCTGCTCCTGGTCATTTGTTTCTTCACCTGAACTGACTTTTGTCCACATGAAAACCTGAACAGAGTTTGGTGTTTGTTCATTTCCTTCTTTTCCTGCAGCTGAAGCTTCAACAGAGAAATCAGCAGAACTTCCTTCATCAGTGAGGTTTTAAAAAACACAACTCTATCATCAGCATAGAAGCTGTGTCCAGTTTTTCTACATCAGTGTCAACAGTTTTCTTCTTTGGTTCAACTGTAATGATGGTGATGATCTTCAGTCAGGAGCTGATTGGTTCTTTTTCTTTTCCTCACGTCAGATGGACGTGAAACAAAGTCAATGTCTTCATGAAATCACTGAACAATAAAGATGGAGATCAAGTCAATACATGTGGGGTTTTTTCTCTCTTTTCTCTTCATACGGTTGTTCCTAATTCAACAGAACGTTCTCATCATCATCACATTGGTCCATCCACTTAGAATCAGTGGTGCAATACAGTAGTGTAGCTGTGGACCAAAGTCAGGCCTGAGGACCAACTGTGGTCCTTGGAGAATTTTCCTTCCAGGAACAGTCTATAGGGGGCAGCCTTCACACACTTGTACTGTGGTTACATTTAAGCCTTTGAAGTACTACACTAGTTAAAACTTTAAAGACACCATTGATTTACAAAACAGCACTGATGAACTGTCTTCATCTAGAGAACACCACTCTGACTAACAGAGACCCCTGCTGTTCAGTATGAACATTGGCGCCTCATGTACAAACAAAAACCAACGTAGGAATGTGAGCTGGCCGACGCCCCTTTTTTATGATGAAATCAATCAATCAACTCTTTGACCATGAGGCCGCAGGTGTTGACGTCAGCGCTGACTGATGGTGAAGATATGTACTACACAGATATGTAGTTATTGAGTATATAAAGATTGACTTCACACTGACGTGATGTGGCACTGCTGGCAACCCCTTGGCGGACCAGCAGGGGTCCACGGACCAGTGGTTGAAAGCCCCTGAGTGACACGATGTCAGGTCCTGTCGGTGCCTACCTTCTCCAGAGCTTCTCTGACCACCCTCTCCGTCTCCCTCTTGTTGTCGGCCTTCATCATCTCTTTCACGTCGTTAAAAACCTTGGTGTACTTCTCGTGGCACATGTTCTGACAGGTGCCGTCACTGCTGGTCTGGGTCCCGCGGTGAAGCGTTCGCGGCGATCCACCGACGGCCTTCTTGGTCTGCGTGGAGACGGACAGCTTCTCAGGCTGCTGTGGCGCAGACGACACAGGGATCTCCTGGCTGGAGCTCACTGCCTCAACCTCTGATGATGGTGATGATCTTCAGTCAGGAGCTGATTGGTTCTTTTTCTTTTCCTCACGTCAGATGGACGTGAAACAAAGTCAATGTCTTCATGAAATCACTGAACAATAAAGATGGAGATCAAGTCAATACATGTGGGGTTTTTTCTCTCTTTTCTCTTCATACGGTTGTTCCTAATTCAACAGAACGTTCTCATCATCATCACATTGGTCCATCCACTTAGAATCAGTGGTGCAATACAGTAGTGTAGCTGTGGACCAAAGTCAGGCCTGAGGACCAACTGTGGTCCTTGGAGAATTTTCCTTCCAGGAACAGTCTATAGGGGGCAGCCTTCACACACTTGTACTGTGGTTACATTTAAGCCTTTGAAGTACTACACTAGTTAAAACTTTAAAGACACCATTGATTTACAAAACAGCACTGATGAACTGTCTTCATCTAGAGAACACCACTCTGACTAACAGAGACCCCTGCTGTTCAGTATGAACATTGGCGCCTCATGTACAAACAAAAACCAACGTAGGAATGTGAGCTGGCCGACGCCCCTTTTTTATGATGAAATCAATCAATCAACTCTTTGACCATGAGGCCGCAGGTGTTGACGTCAGCGCTGACTGATGGTGAAGATATGTACTACACAGATATGTAGTTATTGAGTATATAAAGATTGACTTCACACTGACGTGATGTGGCACTGCTGGCAACCCCTTGGCGGACCAGCAGGGGTCCACGGACCAGTGGTTGAAAGCCCCTGAGTGACACGATGTCAGGTCCTGTCGGTGCCTACCTTCTCCAGAGCTTCTCTGACCACCCTCTCCGTCTCCCTCTTGTTGTCGGCCTTCATCATCTCTTTCACGTCGTTAAAAACCTTGGTGTACTTCTCGTGGCACATGTTCTGACAGGTGCCGTCACTGCTGGTCTGGGTCCCGCGGTGAAGCGTTCGCGGCGATCCACCGACGGCCTTCTTGGTCTGCGTGGAGACGGACAGCTTCTCAGGCTGCTGTGGCGCAGACGACACAGGGATCTCCTGGCTGGAGCTCACTGCCTCAACCTCTGGCTCGGGGTCCTGTTAAAAAAAAAAAAGAGACCAGACTGGACATCAGGAGTCAGGCGTCTCTCCCCGGGTTAAGGTTTGGTCTAAGCTGAAACGGTGTTTCTCGACTCTCATTACTAAAAAGTCTGGGTTCATTTTTTTTAACTACAAACTCAACCTGTCTGTTTGACAACCCTTTGATGTTAGCAGAATGGTCCATGGTGCTGGGTCACAGCTGGGAGTTAGCTTACGCTTTAGCCACATGGTTACAATATTTTCGCTAACTTTTAGCGAAGTTCTGTGTCAGTTTTGGCCTAAAGGTTAACGGGCTACAGGCTAATTAAAGTTCTTCATTTAGTGGGCTATTAGCAGGCTAACTGGAGCAGCTAATGCTATTGCATGTTTTATATATGTTTGTATGTTGATACAAAGAAGTGAAGTGAAACATCATGGCGTGTGGACTTACACTGACTTCCTCTTTGGGCTCCAGCATCTGAGTCCGACGGCTTTTCTTCGCCTTGGGTTCTTGAGTGCCTTTGAGCTGAATCAGTGAAAACACATCAAACACATTTCCCTCCGCCCCTTGATGTCAAAGCTGGGTTGGGTTTTTTTTTCTTTTTTTTTTCTTATTGTTAGTGAACAGTCGGCTGAACCAAAGCTCACCCTTCACTCCCCCGTGGGGAAGTTAAACCAACTCTCTCACCGTGCTCACAGTGGCCTCCCTCTTCTGTTCACCTCCTTCTCCTCCGACACCTGTCAGTGTTTCTACATCCGTGTCACTTCCTGTCTCCCTGGACACTAGGAAGTCTTTTGTTAAGCTAACACGTAGCCTTTGTTCTCGGGCTGAACAATGATCATTTTTGGCTGCTGATCAGACGGAGATGATCGTCGTCAGATTAATGCACGGCTGCATCGGAAATCAACCAAAAGACAGCCAACCACTAGGGGGCGATCACAGTGACCATCTGTGCCACAGGACAACCGACTAACTTATTCAGAAAAAGAAGGGGTTTTTAGGAGGTCAAAGGGCTGTAAGTGCGGAGGTGTCATCAGTGGTCGGACACTGATGACACCTCCTGGGTCCAAGACTTCACTGACAAAGACGCAGCCTTGGTGCGGACAGGCCTGATTTGATTATTCACCCGTGGAACAACGGAGGTGTGTTCTAACTCTGACGTTTAATACGAGACAGAGGTGTTTTTGTTTTTTTAATCTTGATCTAAACTGGGAGCAGTTCTGGTTCCTCTGCATTTCTCATCATTTCTCTTGGTTGTTTCTGAACTCACCTGTCGGACCTGCTCGTTGCTGGTGGAGGAGATGCTGGACTCGGCTTCGTCTGTGCGCTCCATCCTGTCCGTTCTGGTGCCGCCGCCCTCCTCTTCCACCTCCTCCTCCACCTCCTCCTCCTCCTCCACCTCCTCCACCTCCGCATCCTCCCTGTCGTCCCGAAGCTGCTGTCGCTGCGACGGGCTGCCGTCCTCCGTCTTTGTCTTCCACTGACGTCCCTCCTTCAGGAAACGCTGGTAGACCTCCAGCTCCTCACACGCCTTCTTCCAGCCACTGCTGCGCTTCACCTGCAGCTGCTGGACGCTCACCTTGATGTCCTGGATGTTGTCGGAGGGAATCCACGCTCTGCCAGGACAGACCAGGACAACGCATGACACTGCTGCATGGAGTTCCTCCCGGGTCTTCACTCACTCACGCTGAATACTTTCCAATTTGCATGACAAATGTCTTGTTTATGTACAACTGTTCTTTGAAAATGTTGTCACTCGGGGTGTGTATTGTCAAGAATCTGTTGATACGATACGTATCCTTTCGTGAGAGTGTGATCCTAGTCTCAGACTCCGCCCCCCCCAGTGTGATCCTAGTCTCAGACTCCGCCCACCCCAGTGTGATCCTAGTCTCAGACTCCTTTGTTACACGCTCTCAAAAAGTAAATTGTAGGAGAAAAGTTTTGGCCTTTTTGTAATAAAAATGAAACAAAACGTTTCGTGCAGTAGGAGCGGCTGACCTCTGATGCTGGTGTCCAAAGAATCGCACGTCCACCTGGTTGTCCTCCCTCTGCAGCACTTTGGCCGGCCAGTAGCCGAAGCCTTTCATTTTGGCCCACACCAGGTCGTGACTGGGGTTCTGAAGAGAGAAAAATGTCAGAACTAAAGTGCCACACCGTTTTCACATTGTTCTGTAAAAGGTTCACACCAACTTCAAATTCTAAGTTTGCAGCAAGTCTGTGGTTAAAGAGAGCTGTGACCTGCACCCCCAGCAGGTGGCAGTAGAGATAACACTGAGAGAACTACAACAACTCCACACCAGGGGTCGCCCAAACTGGACATTTAAAGGAAGTGGATTTCAGACTAGGCTAAGAAGCAGGTTGTGACCTGGGGGTCAAAGGTCATCCTCCAGAGTTCAACAGAGGAGGAATCCTCTCCTGACCAACTGTCAGATTAGATTAGATTAGATCAAGTAGATTAGGTACCTGGTTGCCCTTCACAGCGCTTCAGTTAGCATCATCTGTTAGCATCATCATGTTAGCATTATCTGTTAGCATCATCATGTTAGCAATGTTAGCAT